GGGCCATAAGGCCAGTTCACATGCAGAGTTATATATAGGAAAGCAAACAGTACAGTGAACACAACCTAGCAAGTGTAAGCATGCAGGTATAAGTATATAGAGTACAGTACAAGCAGAGTCAAGAAGTCAACAAGTGAGGCACAGTAGGGACAAGGCCTAACACAGTACAGAAACGCTGATGATCACAAGGCTGAAGTGCCTTGGTGAAAACATCAGCAGTATTGGCCTGAGAGGCCACGTAAGCAAGACGAAGCTGGCCACGCTGCTGCAGCTCTCGAGCAAGGAAGTAGCGCAGAGCAATGTGCTTCGTTCTGTGCTCCAGTCTGTGCTCCTGACACAAGGCCAGCATGGCCTTGTTGTCGACGTACAGAACTGGAGGAGAACGAGGCGCCTCTCCCAAGTCGGTCAGCAGGTAGGTGAGCCAGCGAAGCTCCTATGCAGCCATGGCCCCAGCGTAGATCTCAGCCTCACAACTGGAGCTGAGAACAGAAGAAGAGCGGGTAGACCGCCAGGAGACAGAACCGGAGCCAAGGCTGAAGCTGTAACCCTGTGACGACCGCTGCGTAGCCAAGTCGTCAACCCAGGAGGCGTCAGCGTGACCAGTGAGGAAAACTCGAGCCCGTCCTCCAAGCACGAGCCCCATGCCAGATGTACTGCACAAGTATCGCAACACCCTCTTCGCAGCATCCCAGTGCACCTTTCGGTGCCTGCCGGGAGCCACGTAGCGAGCCAGAAGGCTGAGAGGGTATGCGAGGTCAGGTCGTGTGCAAGTCATCAGGTACATGAGGCAGCCCACAAGCTCTGGATAGGGGCCACTCGGCTCTACGGACTCGTCCGAAGGTGGAGCTGAGAGCGAGTGACCGGTAGGCAGAGGAGTGGACTGTGACGAAGAGTAGGTGAAGCCGAAGCGCTGAAGGACCTGCTGCACCATGTGTGACTGAGTCGAGGTAATGGTGCGCTGTGCTCTGTCCCGGGTGATCCGCAAGCCAAGATAGCTTGTCAGCTCACCCAGGTCTGTGCACGTGTGTCTCTTCTGCAGCTCGGACTTCACGTGGGCGAGTGCCTCCGTGTCAGCAGTAGCAAAGACAAGGTCGTCTACGTATACAAGAACGTAGAACGGCGACAGAGTAGCGTCAGTGCGTAGAAACAGAGAAGGGTCAGCAGTGGAAGGAGCAAAACCAAGTGCAGCAAGAGTCGTCCTGAGCGTGTCGTTCCACGCACGGGGCGCCTGGCGGAGACCGTAGACTGGCCACCGGAGGCTTCACTGGGTACCAGCAGGAAACGACCCAGTGAAGCCAGGTGGGCGGCGCAGCCAGATCTCCTCGTGCAGGCTGCCCTGTAGGTAGGCTGTGCTGAAGTCAAGCGAGTGTAGCTCGTAGTCACGCTGAGCAGCAACGTGTAGCAGTACCCGAAGAGTGGTCATCTTCGGGGTAGGGGAGAAGGTCTGAAAGAAGTCAACTCCCTGTCGCTGACTGAAGCCACGTGCAACGTAACGCGCCTTGAAGGCAGGCGGAGAACCCGGCGGCCGCTTCACCCTGAAGATCCACATGCCACTGACGATGTTCGCCCCAGGTGGGGGAACCTCGTCTACGTAGGTGCCTGTGGACTTCCAGGAAGCCATCTCTGCGTCCATGGCTGCCTGCCACTGAGAGGAGTAGGGACCCTCTATCGCCTCTGCGTAAGAGCGCGGGGTCGGGATGTCTAGTGCATCCGGGTCTCCCTCAGGGGCAAGTAGCATGGACACGAGATGAGGTGAAGCAGCGGCAAAGCACTCAATGTCCTCCTGTCTGTCCTCAAGGACGTCCGTGCCAAGAGCACACTCACCCCCGACGGACGGAGGACAGACAGACGCAGACACAGACTCAGCAATAAGACTAGCGGCGTAGTCTAGGCGACAGGCTGCAGCAAAGTCAACGAGCTCAGTAACAAGAGCAGACGCAGCAGTGGACTCAAACAGAGGGTCAGTGACAGCAGTGGCCAGAAAGCGCGTGACAGTAGGACTAGCAGCACGAAGGGAGTCAGACTCCGGGTCCGGACCGTCAGGAAGAGAGGAGGCAGGAGGAGACGGCAGAGGGACATGCTGTGGAGCAGTAGAAGGACGCAGAGTCATAGAGTGAGTGCCTGGGACAGGAGGAGGACGCGGACGCGAAACACGACCAGCGCGAACAGTATGGACAGGCGACGCAGAGCGAGACACAGGGGACACAGGACGCGACTCAGGCTCACGACGCTCCGTAAGACCTCTAGTCGGTCCAGAGTAAGGAGAAGGACCAGGCAGCGGAGAGGCCGGCTGCAACTGCGACTGGGAATCGACAGGCGGTGGACTCAGGAAAGGAGGAGGAGGACCAGGAGAAGGCGGGGAGCCAAGAACCTGCTGAAGGAGCGGAACGTAGTACGGCCGCGGCCGCGTAGCGCCTCCAGAAACAGCAGAGACAGAACCGGGACCCTCAGCCCCAGGGTCTCCAGTCCCAGCAGCACCTCCAGCAGCTCCAGTACCAGCAGCACCTCCAGCAGCTCCAGCACCAGCACCACCTCCAGCAAGCGCCAGCACCTCCAGTAGTCCCAGTAGCACCTCCAGCACCTCCAGCACCAGCAGCACCTCCAGCGGCTCCAGCACCAGCAGCACCTCCAGCAGCTACAGCACCAGCACCACCTCCAGCAGCGCCAGCACCTCCAGTAGCCCCAGAAGCACCTCCAGCACCTCCAGCAGCTCCAGCACCACCTCCAGTAGCGCCAGCACCAGCAGCAACCCGACAGCGCCGAGAGTACCACTCACGAAGCCGCTGTGGAGAGAGGGGCTCCCGCCGCGACGGGACACCTAGAGCACCTCCAGACTCAGCACGCGCAGTCTCGGCACCTCCAGACACAGTACCCTCACGCGCCACACCCCCAGGCTCAGCACACCCAGTCTCAGCACCCCCAGACTCAGCACCCCCAGTCTCAGCACCCCCAGTCCCCGCACCCGCAGGGTCAGCACCCCTAGCAGCACCTGAGTCGACAGCTACCTCGACCGGCTCGGCAGGGTCTACTTGGGACACACCTGAGGGGGCAGGACCCTGGGGGGGGAGGGGTCTACCAGGGGAGTACCTGGTGCCAGGAAGAGTGGCGGGGGGGGGGGAGAGGCAGTGCGGTAGGGAAAAAGACGGTAGTACGACACCGACTCATCGAACGTGACGTCCTGAGAGGACAGAACACGACGCGAGGTGGGGTGGTAGAACTGCCACCCGGGTGCGTCAGGAGGGAAGCCAAGGAAGACACAGGGAACGGCACGGGAGGACAGCTTGTCCGCTGTAGTATCGCGGACGCATCGCCAACCTTCCCCGTCCACCGCAGTGTAGGTGTGGTCTCCGGCAAGGAGACACGAGGCTGAAGGTTGATCTGATGCGCAGCGTACTGAACCGCGAACGGCCACAGAAAATGGGGAGCAGCCGCATGGATCATGGACGTACGAGCGACGTCCATGACCATGCCAATGCGGCGCTCAGCAATCCCATTTTGCTGCGGGGAGGCCGGAAGCGTGAACGTCTGGCGGATGCCCTCCAAACGATAGAAGGCTCTCAGGAGGTCGGAGGAAAATTCCCCGCCTCTGTCTGAGTGCAGACGCAGAACAGGAAGGTCTGAGCCGAAACTCTCACTAAGCTGGCGACGAGCACCGCGGATCCAGTCGATCAACACCTCAGTGACCTCACCCTTGCTGCGCAAGGGGAAGACTGTGGTGTAACGCGAGTAGTCGTCAACGACCAGCAGGAAGTAACGCTCGTGACCCTGTCCACGGACGCGGGCTGGGCCCCACACGTCCATGTGAAGCGTATGCAGAGGGGCCTCAGTCGGAGGAAACGAGGAGGAGTGAGGAGCAGCGCACTGCCGGCCCTCGACACAAGGAACACAGGTGGGGGCAGGCCCCGGAGGAAGGGAGGGAGGGACCTGGGGAGTCCAGAGACAAGAGCACAGGAGGCCATACCTCGAAGACGAGGCAGGGAGGGGTGACCAAGGCGGTGGTGCCAAAGGAGAGTCTCGTGCGCCAGAGGACGACACGAGCAGGGGGCAGACGCAGGACTAGACCTGGACGCGGCAGCAAACACCTGACTGGACGCAGCTACCTGACCAGACGCAGAGACCGGAGGAGGCGCAGTAGTCAGTGTGTACAGACTCGACCCTGGCCGACGGGCGAACGTGGCCAGGTGGCGGCCCGTCCGAGAGCAAGTGCAGTGGGTCACACGCTGACCTCCAGGGGTGAACTGGTCAACCCACGCGTCCTGGAGGTCAGCTCCACTCACCAAGTTCGTAGAGAACGAGGGGAGGTGGAGTCCCGACAGCAAGCCCGACGGGGCCGCAGGACACGGTAGAACCGTGGAGGAGTGTGCAAGGACTGGGCCCCCGGAGGGGTCAGCAAGGGAGACCGCAACAGGCCGACTGAGCGGCGTGAGCGTGGTGCTGTCTCTAAAGAAAGAGCGCGAAGCACCAGAGTCTAGTGTGAAGGTGTGAAAGGACTCAGTAGGTGCAGTACCAGAGAGAGGAGACGTACCAGCACCTGGAGAAGCAGACGCACGAGCACCTAGAGCAGCAGCCGCACTAGCACCTAGAGCAGCAGCCACAGTGCCCGGGTCGGGCGGGACACGCAGGTAACAGTCACCCTCAGTAATATCAGCAAAAGCATACATGGAAGCAAGGATAGCATCAAAGTCTAGATCAAAGATAGGCACATTCTGCAGAAGCAGATCATGCCAACGAGGAAGCTCAACTGCGTCAGGAAACTGGGCACGCCAAGCGTCATTCAAGCGGCCGAAGCAGCGCTGCGTGGTGTGTGGGAGACCACACACCTCCCCACCCCGAGTGCTGGTGCGAAGAACGTAAGAGCAGGGACCCGCACCCCCAGACCTCCCACGCCCAGCGTACCACTCACGAAGCTGCTGAACCGACGGGGTCTCACGGGTGCGCTGCTGCTGCTGGCGCTGGCTGCCACCAAGGCCTCCACGCTGCGTGGCTTGCACCGCGACCAGCACCACCTCCTCCGCTACCTCCACCACCGCTTGCCGCCGCCTCCACCCCCTCCGCCACCGCCGCCACGGCCTCCACTGCCGCCACCGACTCCCCCACTCCCTGTACCACCCCCACCACCACCTCCACCTCCTCCACCGCCTCCACCGCTTCCCCCACCGCCCCCTCCACCACCCCTGCTTCCCTTGCCCTTGCCGGTGCGGCGTCGCCCACTAGAGGCAGACGCAGCGCCGACCTCCTCAGTGCCAGCGAGGTCGACAGCAGCAGCAGAGGCAACAGTGGGGAGAAGGGGGACAGGGGAACACCCCTCAAAGAAGGGGGTGCGACGGTCGCCGCGAGAAGCACCTACAGCTAAGATACTCTTCTCAGCTGCAGCAAGGCGCTCCTCTAGCAAGTCGACAGTCAGCTCGGTGGGGCAAAGGGAGAGGAAGTGATCCCTGACTGAGGAGAGAGAGCCAGGGAGGCGGGTGACTAGGTAGTAAAGGGTGATGTACGTGGGGGGGGAGTTCGTGGGAAGAAACTCAGTGGGAAGGGCAGCGCGGGTAGCGAGCGTCACTAGTGCGGAGGTGAGCAACTAGGTCAGCAACTGTGGCAAAGGCGGCAAGGTCAGGAAAGAGGTACGGCAGCATGAGGCGGCTGAGGGCAGCAGTGGTAGGGGAGGAGTAGCGTGCAACTACAGCGTCGTACAGAGCCCTAGCACTCTTGTACTGACTAAAGTGCGCGCGCTCAGTAGACGGCAGGTGATTGCGCACAGCAAGACGAGCAGCAGCATCGCGCGTGAGCCACTGCGAGCGAACAGTACTGTCAGCATCAGCAGCAGGGGCAGTAGAGGCGCCAGACGTGAGATCGAACAGTGAGAGGCCATCCTTGCTATCGCACTGAAGGAAAAAGCTGCAGATCATCTAGCCAGACCTCAAAGTCAACAGCTCGACCCTCAGCATCAAAGGTAAGAACATTGAGACTAGCCATGACAGGAGCAGCAGCAGGCTAGCAGCAGCAGCAGTGCAACTCAGCAGGGCAGGCTAGGCAGGGCGGCGCGGCTCAGCAGCGCGGCGCTCTTACCAGTGGCGAGGCCGGGGCAGGGCCGGGGTAGGGCCGGGGCCGGGCCGCAACAGTGCAGGAGCAGGGCAGGGGCAGGGCCGGGGCAGAGCCGGGGCAGGGCCGGGGCAGGGCCGGGGGCAGGGGGCAGGGCCGGGGCAGGGCCGGGGCAGGGCCGGGGCAGGGCCGGGGCAGGGCCGGGGCAGGGCCGGGGCAGGGCAGGGTCAGGGCCAGGGCAGGGTCGGAGCAAGGCCGGGACAGGGCCGGGGCGAGGCCGCGACAGGTCCGGGGCAGGTCCGGGGCCGGGCCGTGGCAGTGCAGGAGCAGGGCCGGGGCAAGGTTGAGACAGGGTCGGGGCGAGGGCCGGGGCAGGGCTGCAACAGTGCCGAAGCAGGGCCGGGGCTGAGCTGCGACAGGGCCGCAGCAGGGCCGGCGCAGGGCCGCGACAGGTTGGGGTAGGGCCGTACGGGGCCTAACGGGGCCTGACGGGGCCTGACGGGGCCGCTAACGGGGCCTGACGGGGCCGTACGTGGCCTCTAACGGGGCCTGACGGGGCCTTACGGGGCCTGACGGGGCCGCAAACGGGGCCTGACGGGGCCTGACGGGGCCTTACAGGGCCTTACGGGGCCTTACGGGGCCTTACGGGGCCTAACGGGGCCTTAAACGGGGCCTGACGGGGCCTTACGGGGCCTTACACGGGGCCTGACGGGGCCTTACGGGGCCTTACGGGGCCTTAATCGGGGCCGTAAACGGTGCCTTACGGGGCATTACGGGGCCTTAAGGGGCCTTACGGAGCCTTACGGGGCCTTACGGGGCCTTAAACGGGGCCGTAAACGGGGCCTTACAGGGCCTTACGGGGCCTTACGGGGCATTACGGGGCCTTACGGGGCCTTACGGGGCCTTAAACGGGGCCGTAAACGGGGCCTTACGGGGCCTTACGGGGCCTTATAGGGCCTTACGGGGCCTTACGGGGCCAGAAACAGGGCCTAAAACGGGGCCTTACGGGGCCGGCGCTGGCTCTAAGGGCAGGCGCAGGGGCCGCTACGGGCCTCGAAGGGCAGGCGCGACTCGCGCGTCAAGCAGGTAAGAGAAATTTCAGTGGTGGGCCCTTTTAAAAAAAAACTCGAAACTAGCTCTATACCATGTTAAAGAATAGACGAAAGAATGAGTGAACTAGAAAGTGAGGTGGGTACAAGTAGAAAACACAAGTGTTTTACCCTCTAAGAGCTACCCCACTACAGCCTAAATAGACTATAGCAGATATAAGTTTGACAACTTCCTAGGCCTAACTTGTGTTGGGCTGAAAAAGTCCTTAGGATCGTTTCAAGACTAAACTCTCAGAGTGATGATGTACTTAGCAGAAGCGTAATAGTGGACTAATTGAACCACCTTGTACTAGTGTGTGAGAACAAGATGAATTGATTATAGCAAAGAGATACATAGTTTTATATGATTACAAGGAATGCGAAGGGTTTAACTGTAACTGCTGTTGCGGTTCGATACAACGACGACTCGGGTAACTGCTCAATAGCGAGTCAGTTCCTTGCTGTCACGCTGCCATTGTCAAGTCAATGGTCTCTGACCTTTGACCTTCGCTTCAACCTCCTGCTGTTGTCGCCTTGTCAATTGCTTTGGTTGACTCGGTGTTGCTTCGCTGTGAGAATGCTTCTCTTTTGTTTAGTGCTCGATACTTCAGAAGCGTAAACTAAATGTTTCCAACAACGTGCATACTAGACCTAGAGCTTCTCCCTCCCTCCTTACTCCCTCCAGCTAGTGAGCCGTCCTCAGCCCGCCGTGGCGACTCCCACCGTCCCGTTTCCCTAGGTCGCGCGACCCCACCCAGGCCCGTTTCCCTAGGTCGCGACCTTAGTAGCAGCGCGCGCCCCGCTATAGGCCACGCAGGACGAGGCCCGCCGTAGGCAGAGCGCGCCCAACCGTTAGGCCGCCAACGCGCACATGCGCGGCAGCCGCGCACGCAGTAGCAACCGCACGCGCTGCAGTCGCTCGCGCAACTCCAGCCGCGTGCGTCACCACCGTGCGCACAGCAACAGCCGCGCGCGCAGCAAACGCTTGCGCCTGCAGCGCCTGCATGCACCACTGCCGCGGCCAACGAGCAGCAGACGCACTCTCTACTACCACTGCTGCCAACCGCCAGCAGTTAAACTAGCCGCCAGCAGTAGCAGCAGAGCTAGCCACAGCCAGCCACAGGCAAGCAGAGCCAGCCAGCCTGCCGCCAGCAACTACACTAGCCGCCAGCCAGCCTGCCGCCAGCAGCTACGCTCGCCGCCAGCCCCTCCCAGGCGCCCACAGCAACTTCCAGCTGCTCACGGCCCCTCCCACAGCAACTTTCAGCCGCCCACAGCAACTTACAGCCCCTCCCAACCGCCCACAAAACCTAACAGCCGCCCAGTAGTGCCGGTAGTGCCAGCAGCACCGGTAGTGACAGCCACCAGCAGTGCTCTTCGTGCGCCACCTCACACCAACCATACTGATTGTCTCGTACACACCTAGTACCATTGGCACCTCCGGCAGTGGCTGGTAGCCGCAGTCGCTTCTCTTGGCGCAAATTAGGGCTAGTAGCATTTGCGCGACTAGCGTTCATAGCTTGTCATACCTCGCCCATCAGTCATAATCTGGCTCTCCTCACTCCGTCCGCTCCTAATCCGGCCACTCCTAGCATTTTTCTACTATCGGCCGCACTTCGAGTCTCGAGCTTCCAGCCGGTCCTAGCTCACCGTTCCTCACTCCAGCCGCTCGTGCTCTAGTCGCTCCTACCTCCAGCCACTCCTAGCTCCAGCCGTGCCTTACTCCAGCCGTGCCTTACTCAAACCGTGCCTTGCTCCACCCGTACCTTGCTCCAGTCACTCCTAGCTCCAGCCACTCCTAGCTCCAGCCGTGCCTAGCTCCAGCCGTACCGTGCTCCAGGCGTTCCCAACTCCAGATGCTTCTAGCTCCAGCCGCTCCCCGCTCCAGCTGCTCCTAGCGCAAGTAGTTCCTAGCCTAGCGCTTCCTCATTTTGGCCGTTTCTAGCTTCACCTCCTCCTAGCCTGCCGCTCCTACTCCCAGCTAGCCTTTACCATGGCGTCCGTTAGGGCTCTGCATCAGCAAGGACGGCAGCAGTGGCAGTGTCAGGTACACTGGTGGTCGTCGACAACTACTCCGGGTACACCACGGTGTTTCCTCTCGCGAAGAAGTCCGAGGTGACTTCTACGCTGATCCGGTGGCTTCTGGCCACTGAGGGCACTCGTGATCGTCGTGTCTCCTGTCTCCACTCCGACCTTGGGGGCGAGTTTCGCTCCGGCATTCTTCGCGGATTCTGCGGCGAACAGGGCACCTCACAGTCCTGGACGCTTCCGGAGTCCCCACAGCAGAACGGGGTTGCTGAGCACTGCATTGGCTTGGTCATGGACATCGCCCGCACGTCCATGATCCATGCCCGTGCGCCCCATTTTCTGTGGCCCTACGCGGTTTGCTACGCCGCCCACCAGCTGAACCTCCAGCCGCGTGTCTCGCGGCCAGAGGCTTCACCGACCAGTCTTTGGACCGGGTCCCCTGGTGTTGGGTCAGCCTTTCGTGTCTGGGGATGCCTTGCGCTTGTCCACGACACCTCTGCGGACAAGCTCTCGGCTCGCACCATCCCCTGGGTCTTCCTTGGTTTCCCGGTAGACTCTCCCAACTACGCCTTTACCACCCGCCCCCCCACCAGTTCCTAGACTCCCGTGACGTCCGATTTGACGAGTCAGTGTCCTACTACACCCGGTACCCCTGTCGAGGTCTCCCGGTCCCCCCTCCTCCTCATTTCCTCGCACCCTCTCCTCCTCCTACTCTCGCTCCTCCGGTACCCCCGCCCCCCCCTGGTCCTGCCCCGTCAGGTGTGTCTCACGCTACCCCTCTCCCCTTGGTCGTGCATCAGGTAGCGTCTCCCTCCCCGCAGTCCTCCTCACAGTCCCCTCAGCAGCCTTCGGCACTTCCGCGACAGGTTCCTGTGGACTCTGGGGGTGTTGGAGCTGGAGGTGCTGACACTGGAGGTGCTCGGTCTGGGGGTGCTCGTTCGCGGGGTGCTGGAGCTGGGGGTGCTAGTTCGGGGGGTGCTGGAGCTGGATGTGCTGGCACAGGTGGTGCTAATTCTGGGGGTGCTGGAGCTGGAGGTGCTGGAGCAGGAGGTGCTGGCACAGGTGGTGCTAGTTCAGGGGGTGTCATTCGCACGGGTGACCGTGCTGGTCAAACATGCGGGAAACCTCACACTCAGCACCGCTGCTTCTCCTGCCTAGACGACGCTTGGCGCGCAGAGTTTGGTGACGAGGCCGAGCGCCCCCG